CTGCTGGGAGCACGGGGAAGGCGGGCACTGCCTGCTGGGAGCACGGGGAAGGCGGGCACTGCCTGCTGGGAGCATGGTGGGGGTGGAGGCACGTGCCACACAGCCGAGGTGGAGAGGGCGTCCTCCAGCTACAGAGAAGGTGCTGGGAAAGAACACAGAGCCAGAGGGAGGACAAGCAGCTTCACGCCTGCCCTGCACGTCCAGGCATCTCTGGGACGGGCTCTTGCTGCTGAGCCCAGGGGCTGAGCAGCACTGAGAAGCAGCTTCCACCGGGTGTCCCTTCGTCCCTTTGTGCTGCGTTTGTGTCAATGTGGACGCATTACTTCTTCAAAATCATCAAGAAAATGAATGGATGTAGTGCATGTCTGAATATTCTGTATTCTCAACTCTAATATGTCCTGAAGCAAGAGATGATTCCAAATGTGGCACAATTTATCTGAGAATGAAGGCAAAGCCCACGAGGTCTGAATTCTCACGCACTCCCACCTCAAGGAACACGTGCTGCCACACTGGACATACCAGAGCGGGGAGCGCTCACAGAGGCGGCACACAGGCTCTGGCAGGAGGGGGCCAGGCTCCACAGGGAACGCAGCGGCCCAGCCTCGCCAGACACAGCGTTCTGCCAGGTGCTACGGGCAATGGCCCCATGCATCTTGTGAGGGGTACATACATAATCGTCCCTGGGAAATGGCACGTGGCAGGTTTGACATTGTGAGGGCTGGGGCCAAGGCTCCTCTTTAGAAAGGCTGGGGTGTCTGGAGAGGGAAGAGGTGTAGAGAGGAAGGTCTGGCATGGGGCGGCGTGGGGATTTGCGTTTGCTCCAGCCGAAGATGTCCCCGAGGAGGGAGGGGAGCTCGTGGGCAGCCTTGCTTACACAGCTCAGAGTTTCACAAATCAGCATGCCCAAGGAAAAGCACTGTTTGCTTCAGCAAAAGCAGCGCGGACCGCCAGAGGTGAGCCCACGGTACCTTGATCCCGGCATTGCGCAGCATCTCCAGCGTGGGCCGCACGTCCGCCTGCAGCTGGTCCTCCACGCCCGTGAGGCACAGCAGCTCCATCTCCCTCTCCAGGCTCTCGATTACCGCGGCCACCTTGAGGGTCCTGTCATGCATGCTCAGTTTGGCTTGAGTGTATCGGCTCTGGGAACAGAGGGGGAGATGCCTGTGTGCACACGTGTGTACGTGCTCCGTGTGCACACCACAGAGCTGCATGGGCTCTGGGGACAGAGGCGGAGATGCCTATGTGCACATGCTCTGTGTGTACTCAGCTCGGCTGGACTGTTGATATTTAGGAGTTATCAAGCACAATTCTAAGGAAATTGGCACTTCTTTGCTTCTGTGACCCTCCTTTCCCAGCAGACTGGAGAAGTGGTGGAAGCAGAAATGCAGAGGATCACCCCATGCTCCTGCTGAGTGAAGCTGCCTTCACTCCTGGACTACAGCAATCCCAGCTCTAATTTCATACAAAGGAAGAACTAATTTCAGTGGGAGGAAAGAAGTGTCGTGGGAGGATGGGGTGGCTGGGAGTCAGCTCACCTCAAAGTCCTGGTACTGCTCTTCCGTCAGCGACTTCTTTGCAACCACGAGGGTCCGCAGTCCTTCGCGCGCCATGTTTCCGCACTGGAAAAGGAGAGGCCGAGTCACGGGCGGGTCCCACAGAGTCACTGCAGCCATGTGTGGGGCCGGGGCAGCACCGCTCTGACTGCTGGTGACCTGCTCTCATGCCCTGCACCCTACCTTCATCACCAAGGCCAGAGATGACTCAGCAGAGGGATGCCTTTACAGACAATATATCCTTTTAACCTTACCACCTGTCTGTTATCTCTAATCCCATCCACCCCTTCACTGGAGAGGTCAAGATGCTGGATGGAGGTGGCGCACACCCCGCCGGGGCTCTCCTGGTGCCCAGCAGACCTTCTTTCTACCACAACACAGGCTTTTCAAAAAAACATATCCTGAATCCTTAGAACACCACCACTCTAGAGTTTGGACACCAGACTGCATACAGCAAGCACACACAGGGGGTGCATGTGGCAGTGCTGGGGATGGGGGGAGGGGAGTGCCTGGTGCCAGGGAGGGCGTGGGGAGTGTATGCCACAGTGTAGGAGACGGGGTAAGGGGAACACCTGGTGCCAGGGAGGGCACAGGGATGCACAAGGCAGTGCTGGGACGGGGCGAGGGGAGGATCTGGTGCCAGGGAGGGCATGGAGGGGGTTCACACAGCAGTGCTGGGGATGGGGTGTGGGGAGTGTCTGGTGCCAGGGAGGGCATGGGGGGTGTAGCGGTGGTGCTGCTGACAGGGCAAGGGGAGTGCCTTGTGCTGCCCAGGAAAAGTGCTAAGAAATGACCCAGGCACATCTGCACACTCGGAAACGCATGAAGTGTGCACACATACATGTCATGGCCCCCTAGTCACACACAGAGACCCTGTCACCGCCCATCATCTCTCCAGGGGAACAGGAGCCCTTCACACAGGAGGCCCCATGCTAATGAAGCCACGGTACTGTATCTGCTCATCAAGGTCAGTCTGGAGGCCAATAAACGTGATTGAATTCTTCACATTTTTTGCAATTTCTTTTAAATTCCTCCAGTTTATTGGATTTGATACAGATTTGGAGGCTGCAGGGATGGCAGGAGGGGCTGGAGGAGAGGCAGTGGGTCTTGCGCCCCTTTTCATGCACCCACCAGCTGTGTCTCTTTCTCTCCTGTTTAGGAGTCGAATAGTGACCTCTATAGGGTCATGTGTTACAGGAGACAAAGGAGGTGACAATCACTGTGAATTACACAGTCAAGGCTGTCATCGCATTATACCTCCTGTCATTCCCAGTTTTAGCGACAGATGACTCTTCAACAACATGGATTTGAGCTGCGTGGGTCCACTTTTACACAGATGTTTTTCAGTAAAGCTCAAGCAGAGTGAAACTGCCATTCCTGCCTCCCCTTCCACCTCTGCCACCTGCTCTGCCTCTGCCCTCCTGAGAGAACCAGACCCACCCTCCTCCTCCTCAGCCTCCTCCACATGAAGATGGTGAAGAAGGTCTTCACAATGACCCACTCCCACTTACTCAAGAGCAGATACATTTTCTCATCCTCATGATTTTCTTAACACTTTTCTCTAGCTTTATTGTAAGGATGCAGTATATAATCCACATAACACATAATGCGTTAATCTACCTATCCGTGTTATTGGTACAGCTTCGGTCAACAGGAGGCTATGTAGTTAAGTGCTGGGGAGTCAAGAGTGACGGGCTGATTTTCAACGGCGCCGGGGGCCTAAGCCCTGACCCTTGAGTTGTTCAAGGTTGACCTGTACTTGTTTCCTTTACGGTATGATGTCCAGCACCTAACTCAAGTTTGTGTTTAGAGGGAAGGAAGCCCATCACCTCACACCTCCAGTCATCCAGGACATCACTATTTCAGGTCTGTTCACAGACTTACATATTCTCACATCTCAGGTTTTCAGAAAGTGGTCCTTTCTTTTATGTGATCATTGAAAAGTTTTTGTTTTTGTTTTAAACACTTGGAGAACACAGGTTGACAGCCAAAAATTCAGTTCTGGAGGAGCCTGATGGAAGCAGAATAACGCACTTTGAACTCGGGCTCAAAGAACCTGCTGTTTCATTTCTTTTTAAAGACAATGAAGGGCTTTCAACACTGTAGTAATATCACAACAAAGACACTGGTGAAGGGGCAAACCATTTATCCAAGGAAAGAAAATACAATGTGAGAAAATAAAGGCACAAATAATTTTTAATAAAGTTATCTTTGTGAAAAACATTCTGACATTATCTGTCTGCTGTAAGACATTTATTGATCTGACCTCATAAAGCTAAATAAATTAAACAAGTATTTTACAATTAATTGCACGTCATTATGACCAAAAGTAATTTTTATGGCATTTTACTAGGTCTTCAGGGAGTTTAATTTATTCATGTCCCTGATGAAATAAAAGTGCCCTGAAGGAGATATTGATTCATATTGCCAATACCGCTGCGAACACCAGGGCGTGGGGGCACAGACAGACCATCCCTGCTGTCCAGGGAAGGAGGAGAGACTGGATTCCAACAGCCACATGCACACAGGACAAAGGGCCACGTTGACAATGACAACGGTCTCCGATGGACTCGGAAATCCAACTACTCATTAATACATCAACTCAGCGATAAGTTAATCTCATGAGGCTATCTACAAATATTTATTTAAGGAGAATTTAATGAAATATGGGATTGCTTACACTTGCATCTCAGGTTCTGTTTTTAAGTGAATCTTATGCACACATTAGCATTAGGTTAAAATTCTAATGAAAATCTCCTTTCAAATATTTATGTTACAAAAGAAATACAATAAAATATAACTTTGATTACACATAAGTATTATTTCAGAATAGTGAATGACTGATAATGCTTTCTATTTCTCACTATTATACACAAAATATTCTCTGTAAGGACCTACTTGTATAGATTGACATGCACTCACACACAAAACAAAAATGATAATTATTTATACAGAAAGTAAACTACTTATAATTAAATAGGACTCCTACTTTTTGTGCTATATGAAACTGAGAACTGTAAGCATTTAAAATAATTTAGTAGAAAATGATACTGTGTTTGACAACCTATGTGGTTTCCATCAGTGTCTGGTTTGACGTTTTGACAGCTCAATTTATTTCAATGATGCCAGTGTCTACCAGCTGGGGGAAGGCTATCATTTTTCTGTCATTTATTCAGTAAATTTCATAAAAGCACTGTGAACAACGCTGAGAATCACTCCCTTACCTCCTCTTCCAGCCAGTCATTGTACTGCACGATGGTGGACATGGCCACATCAGCACCCTTCATGTAAAACGTGATTTCTGCCGTGGATTCATCCTACCGTGGAACAGAGATAAACACAGGCACATTGAGGCTGCAGTGCTCGGTGCAGATAACTGCCAGTCTCATAAAACACACACTGGGAAAAGCCATTCCTACTGAGCGTTCTCTGCATGGTGAGCTCCTTGCTCATCTTCCACGCGGAGGACTGGGCCCTCTCTCCAGTGCTGGTGTGACCAGGACTGAGAACCAACTGTGTGTCTTGAGACGCTGAAATGTTTGAATGTGTTAACGAATATATGATTTGGGTTGCGTTCTCTTAAACTTTTATAGTTTGATTGAATGCTTCATTGTTTAATCAACTTTCAAGATAAGATTTTGGTGTTTGCTAAAAAAAAATTAAAGTCTATTTTAGCAACTTTATGGTCATAAATCAATGTTTAAAAGTAGAACTCTTTGGCATGTTATTTTTGTTGAAATCAAAACAGCTTTAGTTGATTTCAAAAATTAATAAATCCCATCCACATTATTGATTCTGCCTTAGTTGTCTCAGGAGAGTTATTTTCACACTAGAGACACACTAGCTTTGCACACATAATTTATTAGCTAAGATTTCATTTAAATAAAAACTGTAACAGCATAAAGCACTTGAGTAAATATTTAACTTTCTTTCGGGAAAATCTGTGTCTAAATGGCCCGAAAACGAAATGTCTGAAGCCATGGTGTGGCACCCTCGTCACAGGCCTGGGGGCAGGCGAGCTGCAGCCTCACCCTGACGATGATGCCCATCCGCTTGCTCTCGGAGGTGAAGGGGAACAGCTGCAGGATGCAGAAGCTGAGGACCTGGCCACCGGGGGTCTTCAGCTGCATGGAGGTGAGGTCCCTGCTGACCAATGTGAGGCCCACACTCTCCGTCCACTGCACCAGAGCGACCTATGGGAGAGCAGCAACACATGACGTCCCACCGCCTCAGGAAAGCCGCATGGAGGCTACAGCATGAGGGTGGTTAGAAAGCTGGTCAACATGAGAGAACTGCAGAAATACTTAGCTGTTCAGAACTTCTTGTTTTTGCAGCTAAGTATAAACTTTTGAATGACATTTTCTAGAGGAACACTGAGCAATACGACAAAGTCCCTTAGTATTATTCTTTAAAATGAAGACCATTACGGATCATAAAGACTTTCTTTACAATTTGTGTTAATTGCTCCCTAGAGCCAGATGCTTTTAATATAGAGAATGCAGCTCGCCCCATCCATCTTCGGTGGGTGGGTGAGCAAGTTACACAGTTACACAACTTTTCAAGGTTCCTCCCTCCCCGGTTCCATGGACTCCATGAAAGGGCAAACAGTCTGAATCTCTTGTTTATTTATTTATTTATTTATTTTTAATTTTTAATTTTTTTTAATTGCATTTTAGGTTTTGGGGTACATGTGAAGAACATGTAAGATTGTTGCATAGGTACACACATGGCAGTGTGATCTGTTGCCTTCCTCCCTATCACCTGTATCTGGCATTTCTCCCCATGCGATCTCTCCCCAACTCCCCACCCCCCGCTGTCTCTCCCCTATTTCCCCCGGACAGACCCCAGTGTGTGATGCTTCCCTCCCTGTGTCCATGTGTTCTCATTGTTCAACACCCGCCTATGAGTGAGGACATGTGGTGTTTGATTTCTGAATCTCTTGTTTATACTATTTTTTTCCCTAAAATAAGACATAAACTGGTGCGTAATTAATTAATGTATTTACATGTAATATTTGCAAATTTAAAGGAGACAAAATAGACAACAGAAAGCAGACCTGGGCTCTAGGCCTAAGTGTGAAAGCTATGGCCAGGTCTTCATTCTGCTGGGGCACGCTCCTCTCCTGTCAGGTGGAAAAATGTACTTCCAAATGGTTTTGGGGCCAAAATAACATGAGTGATTCCCTGACATATGGCAGGTACTCAAAAATAGAATGTGTTCTTACTGATAATTATTTATTGATTTATTAAAAGCTAACAATCACAAGAAGAGCAATTTTTAACATTAATAATTTGTAAACAGTACTATGACAGTAAGTGTTTTCTGATGAAACTCTGTCTTTAAAAGCAACCTCCCACCAGACATTAATTAGATAAACATGACACACCAATCCTATTATGCAGCTAAAGGTGCACCAACCCTGAGAACATGCTCTCCTAACATCCTACCAGGCTGCAGGGATGAGACGCCTCACCCGCAGGATGGTCCAATCACATGGCCACTTCAGTCAGGGTCCCCGTCTGCTCTGCAGGCTGGCCGCCCCCCACAGTGCTCAAGTCTCTCAAGGCCTGGACAAGGCCTCCTCTGAAGCCCCACCTCATTCTCAGCTCCCTCTCCTGAAGAGCAGGTCCTCGCCTTCAGTTTTAACTACCACCTCACTCTCAGCCAAACCATTTTAAACGTTTGGGTTCTGAGAATGCAGTCACTTCAGGAACATTTTAAATACTGCCTAGTGTCTAGGATACGGTTAAGTCAATCGTGGGCCCTGAACATTCCTGTGAGGATAGGTTCCCACTCTTAGCGAGCTCTGGCTCTGCGGCTAGCTGCTCAGGTTGGGATCAGACCCTGGGCAAATGGCTGCTGCCCTGCGACCCCAGGGTCCTTGTCTACAGAACAGCTGTGGCCGAGGCAGCGCTCAGAGCTGCAGCGAGGATTCGAGAAATGAGGTGTGAGGGCACGTGGTGGACGGTCAGTACAGCAAGGCCCCAAGAGGACGCCAGGGCTCCGTCCTCATCCTTTCTCACAGGAGCCCTCCAGACACGTGCTCATGGGCAGACCAGAAACAACTTTTAAAGTCAGATTTTCTAAGCAATTCCCCAGACGTCTGACCACAGAGTTCCTCCAGCGTGACTTTCCATAGTCTGAGGGTGAAAACTGCTTCCTTTCTTTTCACGCTTTAAACTCGACGCAGCAGGGCACCGCCGAGGCGGGCTGTGCAGAGAAAACGGAAAACGACCCACCACCATGTCTCTTCCAGGCTTCAAAAAAGCTGTGTGCATGTGGCAGGTGGGGAGTGCCACAGTGAAGCCAGGGATCATGATGGTGTCACCAGTGCCGCACGGAGGTGGTAGCACCTGGCCCTCCTTCTCAAGGCTGCCCAGGTGCCACTGCCACTGACCCAGCCCCCTGGGCACGCTTTTGAGAGAACCGTAGTGCAAAAGCCCCAGCTTCTTTCCTATCACGTGAAATGACCTCAGGTGACTTTCTCAAACATATTTATGTTCTAATTAAGGAACTAAACAAACAAACAGGCCAACTGGTCTAGAGTAATGAAGACACACACATACTTATGCAGCTCTAAATGATGTGTACAATGTATCAGCATTTACCTTTTATACATTTCTGAGACTTCAAAAGGTTTACAAAGTTAAGTCAGCTTATGACGTATGGAATAAAATACTTCTGGAAAAGCAGGATTGAGAGGGAGATTATAACTACGATTCTACATTTGCAGTCATTTCAGTTACTAAACCCGACACACACTTCTACAGAAAAGGAGAGTCAAACAGCTCTTCTCAGCTGGAGTTCTTCATCGGCATCCCAGAGAGCAGATGTGATCTGAAGTGCCATTTTCTATTTCCATGGATGGCACACAACTCTTCCTGCTCTACACAGAGAGGAGGTAATACCTCACACCAACGACCTGGGCCCTCAGGCAACTGGGGTCCCTCCTCCCTGGAACCGGAGAGAGAGGCTCAGAGGCTGCGGTTCCCTTTTCCGGCAGGGAGCGGGTCTGCCCACACCATGGCCTTCATCTTCCCCGAGCGGCTCTCCAGCCCCGCTGATTCACGCCACAGTCCCAGTTGCTGGACATGCTTCACACCTGCCTTCGGAAGGAGGGGTGACTGTGGACAGTGTTCATCACATAGAAATGCAAACTTCACGCAAACACATAAGACCATACAGTTAGCTATTTATAAATTCAGAGACAGCAAAATGTTACATATTAGATAAGTAACTAACAAGATGTAACTGTATAGAATTATTTTTCTGTAAGTAACACTATGAAGGGAGATACTTCATTTCCATATTTAAGAGAAAAATAGCATTTACTTTTATTAATTCACCCGCATGTAAGGGCCTGTGCAGCTTGTTGGGTGCCTGCCCAGGATCTCCTGGTCCTCCGGGTAGTGGGATGTGGGGCGGGGTCCGGTCTCAGCCCCAGGACCTGCGGGTCCTCCGGGTAGTGGGACGTGGGGCGGGGTCCGGTCTCAGCCCCAGGACCTGCTGGTCCTCTGTGTAGTGGGACGTGGGGCAGGGTCCGGTCTCAGCCTCAGGACCCGCTGGTCCTCCGGGTAGTGGGACGTGGGGCAGGGTCTGGTCTCAGCCCCAGTACCTGCTGGTCCTCCGGGTAGTGGGACGTGGGGCGGGGTCCGGTCTCAGCCTCAGGACCCGCTGGTCCTCCGGGTAGTGGGACGTGGGGCGGGGTCCGGTCTCAGCCTCAGGACCTGCTGGTCCTCCGGGTAGTGGGACGTGGGGCGGGGACCGGTCTCAGCCTCAGGACCTGCTGGTCCTCCGGGTAGTGGGACGTGGGGCGGGGTATGGTGTCAGCCCGCAGGGCTAGCTGAAGAATTACACCCCAAGAACGAGTCTGACCTCAACCCTTTTCTGCTTGACATCTGTATGTTTGGGTGGACTGATAAATTAAGACACCTTATCTGGGTAATGCCTGCTGGTATCTAAAACCACTGATCAAATGGGAAAATATGCCTGATAGGCCAGAATACTCCAGGACATTTTGGTCTGGGCAAAGACTTCTGAGCAAGACCTCAAAAGCACAGGTACCAACGAAAAAACGAACAAACAAGGTCACATCGAGCTAAGACACTACCACACAGCAAAGAACACAATCAACAAAGCGAAGAGACAACCCACAGAATGGCAGAAAACATCTGCAAACTACGCCTCTGGCAAGAGATTAATAAGCAGAATCTATAAGGTTATTATATATTCTCAAACAACTTAATAGGAAAAAGCTGAGTAATTTGATCAAAAAATTGGCAAAAGATCTGAATAGACATTTCTCAAAAGAAGACACACAATTGGCCAACAGGTACATGAAAACATGCTCAACATCTTTAATCATCAGAAAAACGCAAATAAAAACTACAATGAGATATCATCTCACTGCAGTTAAAACGGCTTCTAGCCAAAAGATAGCAATCACAAATGCCAGCGAAGAGGGGGGATGGAGCACTGCGGGTGGGAAGGTAAATTAGTGCAGCCACAAGGAGAGCAGCATGGAGGTTACCCCCAAATCTAAAAACAGAGCCACCATGTAATCCACAGTCCCACTGCTGGGAACACACCCACAAGAAAGAAGTCAGCACTCAGAAGATCTCTGCAGCTTCACGGTGACTGCAGCTGTTCACAGTGGCCAAGTTCTGGAATCAGCACAGACGAAGAAAATGTGGTGTACACACAACGGAATATTACTCAGCCATCACAAAAGAATGAGACCCTGTCATCTACCACAATGTGTATGGACAGGAGTACATGAGCTAAGTGAAATCAGCTGGGCACAGAAAGACAAACGTTATGTCTTCTGACTCATAAGTGGGAGTGGAAAAAAAAGGTTGAACTTCTAAAGACAGAAGTATAATGATGGTTACCAGAGCCTGAGAAGGATATCAGGGATTGGGGTAATAAAGGGCGTTGGTGAATGGGTACAAAAATACAGTCGGATAGAAGGAATAAGATCTAGTGTTCAGTAGCACAACAGGGTGACCTTAATTGACAGTAACTTGTATATTTTAAAATAACTAAGAATGGAACTGCAATATTACTAACACAAATCAATGATTAATGCTTGAGGTGATCTCAATTACCCTGATTTGATCATCTGTACCCCATAAGTATGTACTATTATGTATCTATAATAAAGTTTAAAAACTTAAAAAAGACAAAACATCAT